GGGAGTGTAGAAGTTTAATTAGAAAAGAAGGGGAAATCTTCCCAACCAGACACTGTAGAGGTAGAAGAACAGAAGATTCCGCCACCTGAGAGGTAAAGTCAACGTGACAGGCCATGGGGGTCATCGCCAGCAGGTTCCAACCATCCCTGACGGGTGATTGAACCTGTCTATAAAGACATAGAGAGCCTAAAGAGAACCCGTCACCAATGTAAAAATGCAAGGTGCTCTGTGAATGGAGGCAGTGGAAAATGGCTGGGGGAAGGGTGGCTGTAATTATATCAGAAAATAAGGATCAATGTTCCCAACCAGACACTGTAGACATAGAAGAAGATTCCGTCACCTGAGAGGTAAAGTCAACTGGACAGGCCATGGGGGTCATCGCCGACAGGAAGGCCATGAGGGTCATCGCCAGCAGGTTCCAACCATCCCTGACGGGTGATTGAACCTGTCTATGAAGACATTAGAACTAAAGAGAACCTGTCACCAATGTAGAAATGCAAGGAGCTGTGTGAATGGAGGCAGTAGAAAAGGGCTGGGAGGATGGTGGTTGTAGTTTCATTAGAAGAGAAGGATCAATGTTCCCAACAAGACACCGTAGAGGTTGTAGAGCATAAGAAGATTCTGTCACCTGAGAGGTAAGGTCAACTGGACAGGCCATGAGGGTCATCGCCAGCAGATTCCAACCATCCCTGATGGGTGATTGAACCTGTCTATGAAGATATAGAGAGCCTAAAGAGAACCTGTCACCAATATAAAAATGGGGTGGGGTGTGTAGTTTCATTAAAGGAGAGCAATCAATCTTCCCAACCAGACACTGTAGAGGTAGAAGAGTTTAAGAAGATTCTGTCACCTGAGAGGTGAAGTCAACTGGACAGGCCATGAGGATCATCGCCAGCAGAAGAAGATTCCATCATCTGAGAGGTAAATTCAACTGGACAGGCCATGAGGATCATCGCCAGCAAGTTACAACCATGCCTGACGGGTGATGGAACCTGTCTATAAAGACATAGCGAGCCCAAAGAGAACCTGTCACCAATGTAACAATGCAGGGTGTTCTGTGAATGGAGGAGGTGCGGAAGAATGTCACGATCTCCCCTCCTCCAGTCACAGAACTCCATTGAAAAGAAAACAAGAAATCCTTGGAAGAGCAACGTCTATACAAGCGAATGTTTCATTCCCCACATTATATATCTTATCTGTATCACTCAGCACGGCCATTATTGACAATGTAACAATAAAAGATGCAGCAAGAAGGACTTTTATTATTTTAGTGCACCGCAGAGGTGTGACATGACCCCTGAGGTAAGGTAAGGACGGGTTCACATATTTGTGGCACATTAACGTGCATTGTGGCGCCCGTTGCTTTAAGGCAGCCCATTCATTTCGCATCAGTTGGCAATGCACCACAACAGACCTAAACAATCACTTACGCCTTTCTTTTTGTTTGTTTTTTTGTCCCAGGGCACCAAAACGCACCGGCGGTTCACATCTGTACAATGTGGTGCATTAAAACGCGGGTCTGTTGTGGTCAAAATGAACGAATTAATGTATATCAGTTGGCTGCCTGCGTGCAGACCTATACTTGCAATATTTGTGTCAGTTTGCATTTTTTGATTAATAAAGCTGGATTTAAAAAAAAATAAAAAATGAACGACACCACAATGCATCACATTACGGTTCTTGATAACCCAATCACTGTTATACAACCTTTACAAGGTGCATGTAATTCATGTCATTTCCAAAGAGAGCTTTTTTTTTTTTTTATATGTATACAATCTCTGGTGACTCCTCCCCCGCAAAGGTCCTTTGACAGGCACTTCCTGTTATGGGGTGACCACTCTTAGTCCCAGTCCTGCCATTGTGCACCTGAGTTGTCACCAAGACTTCAGAAGGAGATCACATGCTTCCATTATAACACACGTTACTCAAGCGTGGTTGTCACCTTTGGGAAACCCACCCTGGCAAACGTCATCTAGGCAAGAAGAGTCTGCCAGAGATCAGCAGCACTGGGATTTAGATTTACTCATTACTGGTATGATTATTATACAGGATTTATTTGACGCCAACAGTTTGCACCGCGCTTTACAATATAAGGAAGGCATTACAATCACAATACAATTCAAGCCAAGATGGTAAGGTGGTAAACTCCTGCCCTCCAGGAGTTTACATTCTACGGTCCCTATATTAGGGCCAATTTAGACAGGAGCCAGTTATCCTAGTCCTACCAGCACGTCTTTGGAGTGTGGGAGGAAACCAGAGTACCCGGAGGAAGCACAGGGAGAACTTGCAAACTCCATGCAGATAGTGCCCTGGCCGGGATGCAACAGAAGATTAATAAAGTGAAAATAAGTATTTTATTAAACAATGTCAATGGTTCAAGATACACGGTGCTAGTAAACCTATAGGACTGACATCTACTTTAATGACAGGTTCACTTTAATAAGGGGCAGCTCCACCCCCTCCCTGGAAATGTTTTTTTCCCTTCCAAAAATCCTCACTTAAAATGACTTCCAAATATGTTTCTATCATAGAGTAGCGAGCTGGACGAGGATACTTGTAACTCTTTTCTTTCCTCGCTCTCTCTCTCCCCCTGCGTTGCTCTTTAATTGCATTGTTCTCTGGTTACCCCTGTGAAGGGGGATGGGACTGAAACTTCTGCACTCTCTCCTTCACTTCTGATTGGCCAGGGCGCTGCTTTGCTCCCATTGGCCGCCTGCAAATTCCACACTACCCCCTCTATGGTTACTTCTCACCCCCTCCTTCCCTTACACTGTGTGTCCTGTCCAAGGATTTCCCAGAGCTAGGGTTGGAGTGGAGGTATTCTGGACATGTAGGGGGGGTCTCATCATTTTAAGAGCTGGATTTTCCCATGGATGCTGAACATTTAGAGGGACTGTGTAGACTGTGTAGAGGGGAGTCCAACTGAAGTCACCAGAGCTGCTGCCGGCCATGAGCTTCATCTACTGAGCTTGGAGAAAGTTTTTATGAAGATGCTCAACCTCCTTCTGTGGATCTCCTTACTTGTTGGGACCCTGAACCCCGTCCACTGCGGCTCCCCGGAGAACCAGTGCAACTGGAGAGGAAGGTTAGTCTCT